ACTTAGAGCATAAGATATATAATTGGTGCTTTGTAACCGCTAAGGCGATTTTTTACCGAGCTCATCATCCAATTTGTGGTATCCGCCTCGATATTTTTTCTGACAACTGGTGAGACCTACAATTTATTCCAAACCGCCTTCGAACGGCTGATGGTTTTTTCACGAGGAGCCTTTATTTAATGCCAGAAATACAAATTACCTGCCGAAGATATCAGTCAATCGACGATTTTTGAGAACTAATTCCTTAATTTCATTGAAGTATTGCATATCAGTTGACGTTGATGGTCATCCTGAGCGCTCCAAGTAATCAACACGTTTCCGACCCTCTTTGAAGTCTTATACATGCTCTTCTGCGTTGAGAGTGACGGTGTCAGACCGGACGATTCCCAATCTAACGTAATCTAATCGCACTTATAGAACGCTTTGAGAACAAAATATTCATGCTACAGAGACCATTTTTTGTATTTACCGAAAATAAACCCTTTATTTTAGGTTAAACTTTTTAAAAGACCCAAAAAAAAGGAGGCATAATTCATTTGATTCACAGAACGCAAGCTACGACGGAACAAGTTTCGTTTGTTTTGTTCCTTTTTAAGTCACGTTCATCTCTAGAATAGAAACCAATCTCTGGTGTAAGCCGTATGGGTCATAAAGACAATGGAGAAAATGCTGTAAGACAGATATTTCTTGCTAGAAAGTATACAAAAATAGGACATAAGACAAACCAAGAAAAGCTCATGGCGTAATTTCCGTAGCGGTACAGAAGAAACAAGAAGTCTACAAAACTAAGGAAAGTATTGTCCAAAGGAACCACAATCAAAGACCTATTAAGAGGCTACATAAGTCTTGAAACTTCAAAAAATTCAATTTTTTAATAATTTTTTGTATAAAAGTACAAATTATCAGGTATATTTTCCACAAGTTTTAAGTCGATCGAGACGAAATTTTAGAAATTAGAGAGTTTTATAACCCACCGTCTTTGTCATGGCTTGACCGATGGCGACACTTTAAACGCGTTTTTCTTAAAACCTTTTTATCGACATCGGTAGTCAAAAATTCTCAACGACTATTGAAGCGAACGAGTTCAAATATTCCATACTTTAAGCATGTTTTTGTAGTCCCTGAAGGAAGGATTTGTTTTATCTTTGATTTCTACTCATTTTACAAGCCAATATGTGGCCTAACTTTATGCAAAAAATGACGTTTTTTTTTTGTAAAAAACGCTACAAAAAACTCAATTTCTAATTTTTTTTTTTAATATTTCTTCTTTCAGGGGGAAAGACAATTCACCTTATTTAAGAAAAAAATTTGTTTTCAGATAAAAATTGAAAAAGTCATCTTGACTATCGCGGAAGCACTTTCCTATGGACGGTCCACACCACGACACTGCCAACGCCTTAGCTTATATTATTTTTCATTCAAATTTTCATGAAATGTTGTCCACATAAATTGTATACTTTATTTAGTAACTTTTAAAAAAATTAGAGAAAATAAGCTTTTTTTTGGCCTTCAAGACCTATGTAGCCCCTTAAATCAGAGGACGGCCTATGTGGCAATAGAAAATAATCGCTGAAAATGCCTAATTGCCTTAATTATACTTACTTTACTTATTTTAATACCCTCTATAAGGGAGTGTGAATCTCACGGTTGCCCCAGCGTGGAGCAGAAGGACAACTTTGAAGGTTTGGCTCTTCCAGAAAGATTTCTGGCTATTACAGACCTTTTAAATAGATATGGAGGGAATTTTCTCGACCATCCTAGGGTAAGCTGGTGGTAAGATCCTACGCAAAGTCTTTTAATTATAAAAAATATTCTTCAAACTTTTTCTATATTATATTATATTTATCAATATATACATATATATTTGAAAAATCTATATTCCTTCTACAGAGCATATCCTGGGCGTATCCAAAGCACTGCCGCCTAATCGGTTTGACATAATTTCACCTAAAAACATTGGTGCGCTCAGCAGATTTTCTTATTAAGCAAACAGTGGCTGAGAGGATTCTTTCAGAAGCTCAGTTAGCCTTTATAAAAAAAGTAAGCACAGCATAACACAATGGTTGGAAGTACATAGAGTATACAGATGGAGAGAGAGAAAATGAACTCGAAAGTAAAGAGGTAGAAGAAGAAGAAAATTTATTTTAATATCAGGTGTACAACTTTGCATCCGCCGTTTTCCGATAGGTGGCTGTACCGGCTGAGGCTGATTGAAATACATAGATGAGAATGCCTTTAAAGTGAGTGTGTACAGTGCCTAATGGATTGTCATCCCCGTTTCAGTGACAGTTGTTCTTATTTTGTGCCTAATTCTCGCCATTTGCGGGAAGCTTTACTTTTCTGTTACAATTCGAAAAAAAAAAATGCAGCTGAAGCGCATCGAATACTCTCAGAAACTTACGGTGATGCTGCTCTGAGTGAAAGAACGTGTCGGGAGTGGTTTCAACGTTTTAAAAATGGTGATTTCGATGTCGAAGACAAACATGGTGGTGGAAGAGAAAAAACCTTCAACCTTTTACTACGAGCTCTTAAAACCGGGTAAAAACATCACAGGAGATCGCTACCGAACGCAACTGATGCACCTTAGTCTCGCGGTCACAATTTAAAGAGCGACATGACAAAGTCATCCTCCAACACGACAATGCTCGGCCTCACGTCGCAAAAGTGGTCGAAAAGTACCTGAAAACGCTGAAATGGGAAGTCTTGCCCCACCCGCCGTATTCCCCAGATGGCGCCCCTTCTGACTTCCACCTATTCCGTTCGAAGGCACACGGCCTGGCAGATCAACATTTTCAATTCTTCGAAGAGTTCGAAAAATGGATTGCTTCATGGATAGCGCCAAAAGAGGACTCCTTTTTTCGAACCGGGATCCGAAAATTGCCGGAAAGATGGGAGAAAGTTGTCGCTAGCGAAGGACAATACTTTGAATAATATATCTGTAAGCATTTTTTCGCAATAAAGCTTTTACTTTTGGAAAAAGAGGCGGAAGCAAAGTTATACACCTGATATTTTAAAATTTGCCAAAAATTTTACTTTCCTACATTCAAACCATTGACGAACACAAACAGAAATAAAATAAAGAGAATCGTGAAAATAAATTTCAATCGAGCAATCGCTTCAAATATTTACACGTACGAATAAATTAAGCACAAACAAACAGAAAAATGATGGCAAAACAATTGTGTAACACAGCATTAAAGGACTCCTTCAGTATGGGCGGCGCTCAAATGAACACTTACAAGTATACGCAAGAGCGCACATATACATACATACATGCCAAGCACGTATATATTACAAAGTTAACTTTTGTGCCCACCACGCTTGGTTTGAAGCTCTCCAAGAGCTCTGTGTATTTTTTGGCTGTACTCTCCCACTTTATTGCTCTATTTGTGCTCCTGACTGGCGCCTACGCCACCAACCGTTCAATGTATGTGCGTTGCTGTCATTCAATCAAGCCGCGTGAAAGTTTTCGTCAAATTTCGCACTCGCCTTCATCGACCTGTTTAATTTGTTTTCCTACGACTCACAATCACACACATATACACACACACACGTACTTTGTTTAACATGGAGTTTTACAAAAAAACATTACGCGTATATGTATGTATGTAGCTTAATGTTCATATGTGTGTGTGTGATTTTTTTATGTTTTATTTTTTTTTGTTTCTTTGTTTGTTTAACGTTGTTCACATTGTGTTGTTTGGTTACATGCGAAAATGTGTAGTGTATGCATGTACTTGTTGGTGTTGTTGTAACATTTTAATGGGCCAACTGCCTAAATACCAAAAGTTCATGTTTATTTGCAATTATAAAAGTCGCTGAGTTGCCCCGACTAATGTTTGCACTTACACTCACGCATACTTTACATATGTGTGCTTATATAATATATATATATATATTTTTGTTGTTTTATTTACCGCTAGATTTGTTTGCTTTCCCGATTCAATTAAATTGTGTATTTATTTGTGAGTTTCGAGGCAAATTATTTGATTTTAATTTATCATTATTATTTTTATTTTATATTAACTAAGTCATTGGCACACTATTGTGCAAAAAAATGCCATAGAAAAAAAAACAAGGAAGCAGTGCCTTTCAAAAACTGATTAGATTTATTTTATTTCATTTTAGGACTTAGGAGCCTCCTAATATAAGTACGCTGAATTGCATGGCTTTAGTTGTTTTTCAAAGTTAGTTCGCCCCTCGGCAGGAAATTTCCACCCCTCCGAGTGTATTTCGGTTCCATGCTCAGGCTCCTCAAAAGAAACCATCAGCCGTTCGGATGCGGCTTAGTGCAAACAGTAGGTCCCTCCATTTGTTGGAAAAATATCCATTAAGACGCAAAACCACAAATTGGAGGAGGAGCTCGGCCGAAAATCACTCAAGCGGTTACAAAGCGCCAATTATATATATATAGTTGCTTCCCTACGGCCAAGCCCTTAATCCGGAGCTGTACTGTCAGCGATTGTACCGTCTGAAGGCAGCTTTGGTCAACAGGAGAGGAATCGTGAAGTTTGCCAGTACAACCCCAGTTCAGACACATTGAGAGTGACTCGCCAAAAGGTCTGAGAGCTTGATTGGGAGGTTATTAAGCATTCACCTATAGTTCGACCCACGTGTTTACCATTGTATACTGTCTATGCCGAATAACGATTTAATATTTCTTCAACTTAGATTAAAATTTCACCACTTTAAAATTGCTTAATGCCAAAATCTGGCAGTTTTATTGTAGAAAAAAAATTTTCAATATTCCCAATCGCAATAAAATTCAGAGCTTTTCGCCACAATTGGCGAACCATTAATTTTAATTGGAAAAATTATAATCTCTACACACCCACCCAGCATGAAGCACAATTAAATAACCTTCGGTTAAACATAACCTCAATACGCGTTGATTATGCTAATAATTTCCGTTTTTCCAAAATCTCGCTTCTCACATTTGTCATGCTGCAATAACGAATAGCAATAAGCGATAATTAAAATGTAAATGTGAATTTTACCATTTAACTATGCATTTTAGCTGGCAACGGTATTGTACCATCAATTACAGTTAAATTGGTTTTATCTATGAAATAATTTCTATTTTGCATTTTTTTTCTTTTGTTAATTATATGATAAAACGGTAATTATATATAAGCATTTCGGCACATAAATTTTGCAAAATACATACATACATACCTGTGTGGCAGATGAGCAAATCGGAATTAATTTTAATGCAAAAATTTGGTATTTCATAGTCATATTCCAAAAATCGGATCATTTTTTGGTATAGCTTCGCATTCGTATACGCATCCGTATAGGCGTTCGTATTCGTAATCGTATTTTTATACGAATTCATATTCGTATTCGTACTCGTATTTTTATTCGTATTCATATTCGAATTCATATTCGTATTCGAATTCCTATTCGTGTTCATGTTCGTATTCACATTCCTAATCACATTCGTGTTCATATACGTATACCTATTCGTATTCGCATTCGTAATCACATTCGTGTGCATATTCGTATTCACACTCGTAATCACATTCGCCTTCATATTCATATTCATATTCATTTTCAAATTCTTATTCACATTCGCATTCATAACCACAATCGTGTTCATATTCGTATTCTTTTTATTCGTATTCATTTTCTAGTTCATATTCGTATTCGTTTTGATACTCGTATTCATATTCATTTTCATATTGCTGGTTCATTTTTGTTATCACATAGAAAAGTTGTATGGCGACGACCCGACAAAGCAGAATTCTTATCTAAATTACAGAGGTAAAAATTTAAACTGGATTTTTAAAAATATTTCACCGGATACTGTTAAATACAACTTGGCTAGCTTAGTTTGAAAACCCCGCTGTAGGGTTCCATAAGCCACATACTCCTTTACAGAACTGTCACTACGATCTTGGTAGAGTATCAGATGCCGACTAATATAAGATGATAGACACCTCAAGGGTCGGGGTGCCCTTTGCCATTCCCGAGAATCTTACGGTTAATCATCTACTGTAATATTTAATATCAAAAAAGGTGGAATTTGTTCACTTCACAAAGAAATACAAAATTCTTCCAATAAACATTATACTATTGAGTGGGATCCAAGAAAATTTTCAAGGTATACACTTTTTCACAAGAATAATGATTACGATTATGAGAAAACATACCGCATACCGTACGACGCAGTTTCCGCAAAACTCCAGTGCTGCAACAAATTACTCAAAGCGCTAACCGGCAGCACCTGGAGTAAAGACAAAAAAACCTTGCTGGAAACTTACAAGCAATTGGCAGGCCGGTTGTAAACTATGCTGCACCGATCTGAGCACCTTGTAGCAGCTGAACCTCGACCTCACTCTGGTCCAATCCCGTCGAAACAACACGTTCCCTGGACCTCCCGCGGTCAACAATAGTACTCTCCTACGCAAACACACGAAAATTAATTATTAACCAAAATTAAATGATTAATTAACCAACATTTAGTTATTTAAAAAATAAATTGAGCCATAATTTTTTTACATTTTTTTTTTTCTTTTTTTTTCGCAGTGTAAAATTTGTTTTGTAAAAACTGAATTTACTAAATCGATTTAAATTTTTCCGCACTCAAAAATAAACATTTACCAACCGAAGCGATTTATTTATGTAAATCAAAGCAATCAGTGATATTCAAATATTCATTTACTGAATACGTTATTATGTAATGCGTGATTGGATGATGAAGTTCGCCGTACGCCCATAAAGTGTGCTGACTGTATGTAGAAGCTTTATTGCATGTAAATTTGTTGCAACAATAACAACTATGTAGTTGTTACATTGCTAATTGCATTCCAATTGTGACATTTTTCGTCCTTGCGAGTGGTGAATAAATCGATTTCATTAAAGTGAAAATTTTAAATGTTTCTACAAGCAAATATACCTACCAAGATACTATAAACAGAAATATACTACAGGGTTTTCAAATAAGTGCTAATATTTTGAATCTCAAAGAAAAATGGCATTTTTTGAGATAAACAATCGATTTTTTATTTCATGGCATTAGCAATGAAAAACACTACCAGCCAATACAATACAAGACCATTTCCTTTTTATTAAAATTTCCATAACCAAATCGCCAAGTGGTTGCTGTTAGCCCTCTATAACTTCACGAATTCCATCTTTGCGATCTTGATTCGACATTTGGCCTGTTGGCGGAGACCTTATTTTTCATATGGCCCCAAAGCAAGAAGTTGCTAGCTGTTCAATCACAAGATATCGGTGACAAATAGCAATCATCTCTTCAAGAGATAACTGGGTTCGGACACATTTCCCTTAAAATATCAATGGTTGCAATGTTATCCAGATCAACACCATCCAATTCCGGCCATAAATAAACATTAATCATTTTTCGATATCGGAAGCCCCCCAGATTTTGTGCTGGTTACAATGAAAACTTTAAACGCGTTTTTCCTAAAATCACGTTTTTCTAACTGGTAGGAGAGCTTATTCGAATCCTATTGCATTGATATATGTGATACTTTGATGGTAGCTACACAGCTACTTTTTTTTTGCCGTTTTTCGATTAAATGAAAATTTTTTTTTAATAATTAAGCGCGTATTTTTTAGTCGAAAATCAATCTTTTTTTGAAAAAAATTTTCCGCTTTCACAAAAATTAGTTAAAAAAGAAATCTGTACTTATTTTCAATGCCCATAATTTATAGGTCATAAAACTTTTTGCTTTTCTGTTCTAGATCACATTCTTTAGAAAAAATCGGTCCTCTTGTGAACGCCTTTCAAGAAAACATGCATTAAATAATGGACTTTATCACCGCCATTTTGTAACAAAATAACAATTTAAGAATATTTTTTTATGCTTCAATATATATTCAGTGATGTGGTCAAATAGAAATTCTATTTCTTTTCCCATATTGCCACAATAAATTTAGAAGAATGAGTATATCTTTCAGCCCTGAACTTTATAAGCCTTGAGGAGCAAATCTTTATAGAAGATATTATGTAATGACGTTTGCGGAATAACCAATTTTAAAGAACGACGAGGAAAGAAAAAAACCTGAATTTTCTTCAAGGCTTTGGGCTACAGCGGCAACATTCTCAGTTATTCTTGTGTTTTATTCTTCACAACACTAACTTTTACCAACAGCTCCATATTTTCCACCGATCTCTGTGCTTCGAAGAGTTGCTTCACGACGACCGAAGAATGTTTTAGTTTTACGAACCGTCTCTGCCAGATTTTCACTATTTTCATAGTGAATTTTAACAATTTCAATGTGTTGTTGCAACGTGTTTCGATGCCACTTTTATTACTGGCGTAGTTTCTACTTGTGAAATGTCAAAAAATTACAGCTTCAAAAGTGATATCTACCGGAATGGCAGGTTATTTAAAATGGTACCACTTATTGGAAACCCCTTTATATATCATCGCATTCCTCTAAATACCCAACCTCGCATCTAAATGTGTATATAAATTAACGGTAATTGCTTTCTTATAAAAGTTCAAAGTACGAAATACATTTTAAGCATTCTTCTGCTATTTAATTAAATTGATTTAACTCGTAGACAAAAGGAATTTTCGCCTAATTAAATGATTTTTCAATTGACATTCGGCAATGAATTCATCGCTTTTTTTCACTTGGGAGAATTAAGTTTTATTTTTTTTCCTCTCGACGTTAAATTAATTTATTGACAGGCAGGCGAACTGCCAGAATTTCTTTTTTTATTTTCCGTTTCTTTTGTTTATTTGTTTTTTTTTTGTTATTTCAAAATCTCTAGCTTTTTGACCTTTTTCTGTTGTCTTTTTCGGCGAATTCACCCGCTTGTGCGGCACTAAATATTTTATGAGGCTTAAAAGCATAGCGGAATTTGAGTGCTCTTTATGGGTTTGGGTTTTGTTGATGCTGGAGAGGCTTTTGGAATGAAAACAGAAGAAGAAGAAAACAACTGAACTCACCCACACGACGCAGAGCACATGAAAAGTTAAATATAAGGCACTGGACAAAAACTCATACATTTGTACATACATACAATTATACTGAGTAAGTTCTACGGAAAAAGGTCAAGTGACAGTAAATAGCGTTGAAATTCATGCATATATACATAAGTATGTATGTATGTATGTGCATATATATATAAATGCTGCTGCTGCTGCTGCTGGTAGTCCAACGTTGTGTAATAAGTGAACTTGACCAAGTTGAGAAAAGTAGCAAATGCAATTAAAGCGTTGAGTTTACTAGAGAAGGGAGGATTAAGCTTTTTTTCATTTTTTTTTTTTGTCAAGCGTTAAAAGTTGTTCATTTGGCCAAAAGTGCGCAAAAGGCGTAAGGCGAAAGTGGAAAGTTGCAACAAACGAGAGCAGTTTATTATGTTAAATCGAGTTTGCTTTTTTTAAAATATATATATATATATTTATTCAGATTAAGTTGAATTTTCTAATTGCGGTCGTCCCTCGGCTGGGAATGTCCACTTCTCCGAGTGTATTTCGCACATGAAATCAAGGCTCCTCCTGAAAAACCATCAGCTGTTCGAAGCTTAGTATAAACTGTAGGTCCCTCCATTGGTCGGAACAACATCAAGAAGCAGAACCACAAATTGGAGGAGGAGCTCGGCCGATAAATCGCCAATTACATATAATATACATATATTCAGATGTGTTGATGGTTTCCATTTCGTCGTTTCAAAAGAACAGAACTGCATTTTGGTATTTGTCAACATAAACTATCAAACCCAACATATTAGGTCAAGTAGAACGTTTGTCCGGTTTTTATCTAAGATATAGCGTTATTGTGCATAGTACCAGTGTTACGTGTCGCTTCATATCATACCATCCGGCGCTGAAAACGTGCTATTCGCGCTAAAAGTTTGTCTTCGACAGTTTTCCGATTGATTGGCTCAGTACGTTGTGAGCGCTCGTCAAAGCTGGACACCAGCAAAGAGAAAATACGCTGTATTTTACAATTTTTCTGCGGACAAAGCGAAAAAGCAGCCAAAGCGGCTGAAAAAATTAATTTCGCTTATGGGCTCGATACTGTAAACGAACGTGTAGATAAAAAGTGGTTTACCAGGTTCCGTTCCGGTAATTTTGATGTCAATGTTGCACCACGTTTTGCAGTGTGTTTGGTGGCATTGGCAAGGAATCATCTACTACGAGCTGCTACCCTATGACCAAACGCTCAAATTGGCTCTCTACTGCCAACAAATGGACCGCTTGAAGGCAGCACTCAGCCAGTAGAGGCCATCTTTGATCAACAGATGCCGAATGGTGTTCCATCAGGACAACGCCAAGCCACACATGTCTTCGGTGACGCGCCAGAAGCTCCAAGAGCTCGAATGGGAGGTCCTAATGCACCCACTTTATAGTCCGTACCTGGCACCAAGAGATTACCATCTTTTCCTGTTCATGACGAACGCACTTAATGGTGAGAAGTTGACCTCAAGAGAGGCCTGTAAAAACTTGATCTCAGAGTTTTTTTGCCAATAGGGACGCAGCCTTCTACGAGAGGGGTATTATGAAAATGTCATCTTGTTGGCAACAAGTTTACGAACAAAACGGCGCATATTTGACTTAAATCGGGCAAATGTACACAAGGTTATCATATTTTGAAAAATCAATAAAAAACCGAACAAACTTTTTACTTAACCTAATATTTCATTTTAGTTAAAAAATTAGGCCTGCATGAAAATAAAACACTTGACAACCGCACAATGCGTTAAAATTGTTGAAACCTACTACAAAAATGATGATTCAAGGGTGTTCACGTTTCGTGCTTTACGAAACGATTAACTCACAATAATCGTCCAAGTACTCAAACAATTGGTTAAATTTTGAAGAAAATTGAAGAGATCGGTAGCTTCAATGGGTTTATGGAAAGTCTTTTGATAAGCGCGAGACGAATGACGCCTTGGAAGAGAATATTCTACGCATTACTGCTGACATGCAGCCTCAATTGGTATAAAAAACGGTCAAAAATTATGCCTCTCCACTGAAATTTATTCGAACCAGCCGTAACAGTCTCTTGCTCAAAATCATTTTTAAAATCAAACAGCAAAACGCTATCTTTCTAATAAAACTGAATTCTTCGGAAAAAAATTATATTCCATGCGATTCTATCACACAAATCGGCTGTATGACCCGATCTGGTCATTTCCGCTATATAATTAACAGAAAGACTGACATAGCTAACCAACTCAACCCTTAATACTCATCAGATCGGTATAAATTTTGGTGGATCTATCTCTTCTTCTCCGGCATTTATACATTTGGAACCGTAATTAATTTCACGTTCATGAAAAGTATAAAAAAAAGTACATTAATGATGCATGAGCATTTAGCGCTCTCGATAGACCTTTTTTGAAAAATATTTTTAAAAATATGTTTTGTAGGAAAATGGGAAAAGGAATAGAATTTCTATTTAACCACATCACTGAATATATATTGAAGCATGAAAAAA